ATCGGGTCATCCAAAACGGACATCACGAAATGCTTCATCTCCACCCTAATTGCAAAAATCGAAGGCGGCGTTTTGGAATCGGAGCTCTGCTTCTAATGGTAGAGTTGGAGGGTCTCGGGGTGGCGTCTCTGGTAGGCTTGGGACCTCTTGATTGCGGCCATCAGGGAGTTCGAGACTGCCGGCGACCGGAACCCTATCGAGGGTGAGAGAATATAAACATAAAGTTGTAAAAGAAGAAGAAGATAGAGAGACATAGAGGGAGAGAGACAGAGAGGGAGAGAGATGGGGGAGAGAGCCAGACGGTGAGGGAGAGAGATATTATCTTCACCATAAAATCAGTAACTTTCAATTAATTATTTTAATTAGTTAAATCTTAGGTATATTTGCAATATTTTTAAGTTTATTTTGGTACAATTATAAATATTAATATAATGGGTGTAAAATTGTAATATAATTAGGATTGTAAAGTAAGGGGTGCAAATTCCTCTAATTTGTTTATACCCACAAATGAGGCCCCAGTTTATAAATGGGCCCTGGGCCATCGCCCAGCTTGCCCTGGCCCAGGGCCAGCCCTGAATAAATCCAATATCATTAATTCACCCCAAGAATAAAAAAAAAATACAAATTAATCAATTCATTTCACATTTTTCCAACACAATGTTCAAATTAAAACACCATAAACTCATAGATAAAATTTACTATTTACCGTTGATATTTTCATACAGTTAAATATTATAAATAATATCATACTATTAAAAAAAAATATTAGTGAAAATATCTATTTTCACCTCGTTTTGAAGTCTTGTTAAGTTTTTCACACCGCCAAATAAAAAGCTAAGCTTTTCACCCCGGAAAGTGAGAATGTTATGCGAAAACAAACTGTCGCATATCAATTGCATAACTGTGCGAAGGTTATGCGAAAATTGTCGCATATTCATCGTATAAAATTTTCGCATATTCATCGTATAACTGTCCATATGCGAAGGTTATGCGAAAAACTGTCGCATAACTGTCGCATATCAATTGCATAACTGTGCGAAGGCATTGTGCTATGAATGTGCGACAGTTATGCAATTGATATGCGACAGTTATGCCACAGTTTTTCGCATAACCTTCGCATACGGACAGTTATGCGATAGTTTTCGCATAACCTTTGCACTTTCTGGAGTGAAAAACTTAGCTTTTTATAAACTGTGTAAAAAACTTAATTTGTCTTTGTTATGGAGTAAAAAAAAGATTTTTTCCCAAAATATTAAGTATTCTCTTACTATTCTTTATTTCTTTATATAAAAATATATATATATGCTCACTTTTATGAATACGAAAACCATTATGTCGTAATTTATAACCGTTAAATCAACTATTTCTGATGATTTACGGTTCAAACCTTATGTATGGAAGGGTTCTGTAATGGGACGACAGAATTTCCCAAATTATGATCCAAAATCCAAATGCACCAAAATAACGCAACAGGCAACCCCTACGACTCAGATTTTTCTGGTGTGCCTCACATAATTCACAAATCACCCTTTTTAGATCAGCTCACTCACCTGACCACCGGAGAGAGAGAGAGAGAGAGAGAGAGAGAGAGAGAGAGAGAGATGAGCGGAGCAGGGAAGAAGGTAGCCGACGTGGCATTCAAGGCGGGAAGGACCATCGACTGGGACGGCATGGCCAAGCTGCTCGTCTCAGACGAGGCTCGCAGGGAGTTTGCAACCCTCCGCCGCGCCTTCGACGAGGTTAACTCTCAGCTTCAGACCAAGTTTAGCCAGGTCCGTTGATCTACACCTCCTGTTCTCCGTACCTCTTTTTTCTGTAATATCTAGATGAATGGTTCATTTGCTTCTTGTTTTTCGCACTCATTTGTGTCGTCTGTGTTTCTATTTTTGTGATATGCTGGTTGCCGGATGCACAGATCTGTTGAATTTATCATTTGGTTTTTGGTGGAAGGGAGGGGAGGTTCTGGTATAATTTGGTTATGGGATTGATTTGTTTTTCTCTTTATGGAATTTGGAATTTATTGAGTTTGGATCTGTATAGAGATGTCAACTGTATGGAGGGGATTATTTTGGCTATGGGTTGTTTTTCGTTGAAGTTTATTGTGTGTAATCGAGATGATAGTTTGAGCTCTGTAACATCCAGTTAAGAATTTTAGTGAAACTTCTATTGTTTTGTTTCTTGGTTCGGTTACCTCATCTAGCTTTACTAGTAAGTCGGAACGTGAAAATGGTGTGGGAATCGGGAGTGAGTACAATCCACCCTCCTCTTACATTCTTGGATGCAAGTTACAAGGTCGCAGATAAGTTTTACGAACTTTGGAAATATGCTGAATTGTTAATTTGAAAATCCTGACAGGAATTAAATTAGAAGAGGGAAAAACTTGAATTGGATGGTAACACGATCGTTAAGGTTGTGAGTTGGTGATATTTTTCTCAAGTTGAAAACTGAATTAGGAAAAGAATATGTTTGTGGTTCCAAAGTGGTATTGCACAAGCATTTTGCTGACAACATCTCTCCTGATCTCTTTTCTTGTCAAAGTGAGGAATAAGCTCTTGTTTTCTCTTTCTTAGGCTCACGCATTACATTTTCTTATATTTCCTCGATTAGCGTACCCATTCCCAAGTGCTATTATCCCTTTTGTGAGATGGCAGAATGAAAGCTTGACTATCACTCATGTGAACTAGGTGAAAATTAAATACCATCTTTCGACAATGTAGAAAACCCTTGAAAAGAGTTGTATCTTGGACTTACTATGTCAATGTAATAAGCAAGTTGAATAGGCAAATGTTGATGGACTGAGCGGTATTAACGGATCCGGATCCTTGGAGCCCATATGATTGCAAAGAAAACTGCTTCTCCGTTCCTTAGACTATGGAATGTACCAAACACAACGAACAATAACAATGTGACGATGTACAATACTTTATAGCATTTTTGGTGATGTTTCACACGACATCTCTGTATTTTATACATTTTGAAATATTGAAAGAAACATTACTATTTAGAAATAGACCATTACTCTATGTTCACATTTAATTTCTTAGGCCTGTACAAGCTGGTTATTTACATTGGTCTCGGCCACAGCCACAACCACATGTTCGTAACAGTTGAGTTTCATTTCCAATCAGTCATATTTTATACACATGAAAAAAAGACATTCATATCACTGCTAACTGTGAGATATGGACGCCGCGTGTAGCACCACCGTGCTGATCACAGGAGCTGCTCGTTGCTCTCTATTGCTGAGCCGCCATGGCTCTTAGCTGCATGAGTCGGTTTAAACGCATCACACCGTGTCCTACCCTCGCAAAATTTCATTGTCCACAAATAACTTACCCAAATATTAGCAAGAAGTCGTGTATTATTCTAGTTTTTCTCTTGAAAGGCAAAGCAGCTAAATGTATATCAGCACATTCCACCAATTAGCGTTAAACCAAACTAAATCTAGCAACACTAACTTCTTGGGACGATAAAAAACCAATGTGTCGTCGTAGTTCTATTTGGTTTAAACCAGACCAAAGCAGTTGTAAAAAGTTAGTGTTGCTACTTAATGCTGCTTTAGTTTGGTTCAATGTTAATTGGCATGTGATGATATGCATTTACCTGTTTTGTCACAGTGTGATGTGTTTTAAGTGATACAAATGTCTTTTTTTTTCATGTGTATAAACTATTATTGGTAGGAGAAGCTGTTTACGAAAAACATGTGGCTGAGACCATGTTGATGTAAATAACCAGCAAATTATCCAGATAAATGTGAACATAGATAGAGTAATGGTATTTTTAACTTTTAAGTTATAGTAAAGTTCTTTGAATATTTCAAAGTGTATAATATGGAGAGATATTGTGTGAAACATAGTGTTGTACGACATCACATTGTTCGATGTGTTTGGTACATTACATAGGTTAAGGAAACTGAGAAGCGCAATTATATGGGCTCCAGTGATCCCTTGATACCTCTATACCTCTCAACCCATCAACATTTGTTTTTCCAAATTCTTGCTTATTACATTGGCATACTAAGTCTAAGGTACAACTCTTCTCAAAGGTTTTTTATGTTGTGATTGTGAATTGTTGTGTCTTTTTCATGCTTATTATGTTTAATGTATGTGTCCTCTATGTTCTGCCTTATTGATGGACATTCAATCTTAAAAAGTGTTCTATTGGCATGTAAGTTAGGCCTTTTTATTTGCCTGGACTGGAAAACTTAAATGACAAAAGCTTTTATATTTCCTTTTATTGTACGTTTGCAGGAACCAGAACCCATAGACTGGGATTATTACAGAAAAGGGATTGGCTCTCGTTTAGTTGATATGTACAAGCAAGCATATGACGGTATGTGCTAGGTGTTGCTTAATATTCGTACAGCAGATACTATTGCCTGCCTTAAACAATTCATTCATATATTTCCTTGTAAATTTTGGGAAGTGACTTCTGCCTTAACAATTTCATTCATATATATCCTTGTAAATTTTGGGGAGTGACTTCTGTAGTTGGACTTAGTCTCTTGCCTGAAGATTATATTATTTAACAACTACACAAACCTTCTTTGGTGCAGAAACAGGCAGCTGCAGCAACAGTAGCTTGTCGATATCTGTTATTTGATGATATTTTCAAATTTTATTATATCTACTAGAAAATGCTGGCCTTGAGTGTAACAATATCAAATGTGTTTTTGTTCTGTAAACTTGTGCTAACATTGGCAGAACCGAAGTTATTTTCGAATCCCAAGGATGAATTGAGTACACACAGCTGTCTCCCTCCATTCACGTCTTCTAATACTTAAATAGTTTTCTTTTTTTTTCGTTTGACTATGTTACTGTTTACACTGTCCAAATTCATCTCCCAATTGCCACATGTCATAGTGATATTACGTAACATGGTAGCGTCATGTTTGGAATAATTGAGATTATCAATTTTGAATTTATTTTGGCTTTTGTATACAATTGAATTTATTCAGTCAATAACAGTGTAACTATATGTGTTGGTAAAGTCAGTCACTTGCATATATGAACTTCTTCCATTGGCCATTGTTAGTAAGAATATTAGACACGATTTTCGATCATGGATCAACTCTGAAAGATGTAATTCCTGATTCGCTGGTGCAACTTGAAAACTTCTCATTTTCTTTGATTTCTAAATTATCTGATTTATATCAATGCAGAAGTTAAGATTCCCCAGTATGTTGACAATGTCACTCCTGAGTACAAACCTAAGTTCGATGCACTGGTGAGACAATCATGAATGCTATTACATTTGTTGTACCATTTTCTTGAAATTTGGGAAAATCTGTTGTCTTTACCTTTTATTAATATTATGGAAGAGTTCTTTGGTGGTATTACACTAAATTATTCTAGATAATATAACAGAATAATTTTGGCTGTTATATTTGAACGAAAAATTTTAGAAAATGTCATCTCTCTTTTCTTTTCTTTTCTTTTTCAATTGAGATGCAGTTGGTAGAGCTGAAAGAGGCTGAGGAGAAGTCATTGAAGGAATCTGAAAGATTAGAAAAGGAAATTGCTGAAGTTCAAGAGCTGAAAGTAATCTACTTTCGCATCCTTTCATATATATTCGTTCTTTTATACATTCACTTTGTGTTTTTTTCACGCCTTATTTTGGTGAACAGGCGAAGCTTAGTACTATGACTGCTGATGAGTACTTTGCAAAGCATCCTGAGCTGAAGAAGAAGTTCGATGATGAGATTAGAAACGATTACTGGGGCTATTAATTTCTGCTTTTTGCACAAGAGTTCTTGAGAATTCTCTTTGGGTGAAACTTTTTTAGGCTCGCTTTTGTTCACGAAATAAAGAGAAAAAACGAACTTCTTTTTCCCTTTGGTTTCTTGTAAGTCTCTAACTGGATTTGTTAATTTGCCTGAATTATGGTGAGCATACATAATACGAGAAGCTTTTGGATCATATATATTACGCGAAATCTTGCTTGTTCGACTTTGATTAATATCAAACGAAGTCCTTGCTAGCTAGTATGTTACTATTTTTCCTCATTTTTCATGGTTTTGTTCATACATGTGAGTATATAAAAGACTATTTTGGAGATCTTAGCACAATTTGCCTTTAAATGAACTATACAGGTGTGATATCAATTCATTTGCTAAAAATTAAGCCCACTTGTTGAATGTTCTGCTTGGTGAAGAACCTTTAAGTATTATAAAGTGGGACTATATTCTGTTATCTTTTAAGATTGGATGGAAGCATATGGCTTTATGCCCCTGATGTGATGCTCCACAATAAGTTGGAGAATCAGATGTGGATATGATGCTTATTAGAGCGAATATTTTAGTAGGGAAATGCTACATTGCCGTTACGGAACCATTCCGTCGGGATTCGTAACCGTCGTGGATAGTTGATCTAACGGTTATAAATCCCGACGGAATGGTTCAGTAACAGGATCGTAGAATCTCCCTATTTAAGTATTTTACTGTTAAAATTATTACACTTATCTTTTGTCTGATAATTGGAATGGACCACCATTATATATAATGATGCCCATCACTATTTCTTGGTGTATAAAAGTTGGTTGGCATGGGTGAATGAGTTCAACTGCAAACATCATCTAAGTCAGTATAATCACATACCTCATGCCACTATCATAGCTTCATTCCAGATCTTGTCGGTCTAACCATTAGACGAGCAGATCTATTCTATATAATACATGTAAAAAATCAAATAAATACTTATGTTGCGAAATATTATAATTTTATTTATATTTTTTTAGAATGTGATATTTCAACATATGTAACAAAAAAATGTATGATTGTCTAACTGTTAGGTTATTTAATATTAAATTTACTGATTTTATACCAAACTACTGTTAAATTCTATTAGTTAAAGAATTTATGGGGACTTTCTTATTTTCTCCTTTTTTTTTGGTTATTTTTTGTACTAATTATTTTTTATAGTAAACGATTGTACAGTTCTTTTCTTTTTTGTTATTTATTATATATTTGAAATTTATTTTCTTAGCACCAAGAACACTGGTTATAGCAATTCTAAAGAGAGAAAAAAAAAAAAATGTTGCCTTGTTGGTACTTTATACTTTATTCAATAGTGAGGGAAGGTTCCGAAAACTGGACCGGTCAAGCTATGGTTCAATGGTTCACTAATCCGATCAGTTGTTAAATTGATTGGAATGGTAGTTAATTAATTAATATTTATAAACATATATAATATTTTATATAATAAAATTTACATAAAACTTTGTTAATTAAATATAAGTCAATTTAAAACATTTCAATACATAAACTAACTACTAATAACTTATATATTATATTTAAAAATATATTTTTTGTTTATTTTAAAAATATTAAAAAATTAAAAAAAAATAAAAAAAGCAGGAACGGTTCAACCGGTCCGAAGAGATCGGTTTTTGGCAGGTTTTACAGGTTCAACCGGTCATTGACCGATTCGTTACCATCCAGTTCATTCCAGTAAACCGGATCAGTCAACTGACCAATTCTCGGTCCAACTGGCCGGTCCAATTTTCTAAACCATCATATTCACTAAAGTATATCTCCCACAAATATAGTTATGACTATTAATCTGGAAATATCCTCCCTATATATAATTTCCGAATGCGTTGAGCCTGCGTGGCTGTTTTTTGTGCTTCAGAATCCTATTTGGCGAAGGATCATGCTTCGTAGTTAGTTTTGGACAAATATATTATATTTTAATAATTAATAATCTAGGTTCGGG